TCAATTTTGCAATTCATTTGGAAATTTTATCATACTCAACTGGTTACCACTTTATTTTTTGGATCGTTTTAAATTAGATCTTAAAAATTTTGGATATTATTCTGGTAAGAATTTATTTCATGATAAGCTGTAGTAATAATATGACAATAATTTTATCGTTACTTATTTGATTATAATTCATTTACACGCACGTGAAACTTTTAAATTTAGTGCTTCCTTATGCCACACAAGGAACCACTGGTATTATCGCTGGTGTTATTGGTGATTACGCAATTAATAAATTGAATATTCATGTAAGAACTATACGGAGAAGTGCTCAAATAATTGGTGCAGTTGGAACATCAACTTTTCTTTTATGTGTAAGTTTTTCAATACATGTAGATTTAATTTTTTCTTTTCGTGTTTATAATGCATTTTCAATTTTGTAATATATATTTTTTTCATTAGACAGCATATCTAGCACAAACACCTATGCAAGGAATAATCTTATTATCAATTGGCACAGCATTAAATTCATTTTTTATTTGTGGTGTACACATGTCTCAGGTAAAATTAATGATTATTCTGATTATTACAATTTTTTTAACTTAAAAATTTTATATTAATACATTATAATAGTTGGATATAGCTCCTAGATACGCTGGCGCAATTTATGGATTGGGAAATACCTTTGCTGGAATTCCAGCAGTATTAGGAGTAGCATTCACGGGATGGATACTAGATATTACAAATAGAAATTGGAATATTGTTTGGATTTTGGTTACTATTTTTTATTCTATTGGTTCTATATTTTTTGTTAGTTGGGTTGGTCATAAAGTTATAATTGAATAAGAGTTTGTTTTTTATTATTTAATGTTGAAAATTGTTTATAATGTATAATACAATATATAACGTAATGATTAATATTTTAATCTTGATTACTATATTTCGGTTAACATTAACATTATTTCTCTTTATAATTACTTTTTACTTTTCAACACGACATAATACTCCCGAGTCTTTAATAGATTCTATGAATTTTATGGATTTCAATATAGCTTCTGAAGAAGTAGTTGTTAAAAATTG